GTCATTCCTTGCATGAAATGATAGAACTTGCTCTAAGGCCATCTTCATCTGTGAGTGTCAAGCAATAAAAAGATTAAGTGCGCTTGGATCAAAATATCTGCCGTTTGTGAGCTCAATTGGGAACTCAATAGAAAAAAAACAGTTTTGTAAGACACGCATTTCTTCTTTATTCAAAAATCTCAAACATTGTTTGACAGCTTTGTTGACATAAATATATCCCGGTTAAAGCTATGCATGGAATGACAAATGATCAAGGAAGTACACAAATTGTAGGAAGTGAGGAGCCCTAAGTCCACTTTTAGTGGACAGCGAATGACATTTTTCCGTCCTCTCTTCTCTAATGCTTGGTGACAAAATGTTTACTCAATACTGCTGGGAATCGCTCTCATCGTTCACGGCACTATCATTAATACAACTATTTAAGAAAACTCATTACCAAAGACTGAGTTGACTTCTTTTATGGTCACTTACGGTTAGATTGATGATGGGAAACTGGGAAATTTGGTCAAAAAAGATCGCGACTCAGTAATGTTTCAAAATATATATGTGCTTAACTGGGCTGTATGTTCCTCCTTGATTTTTTTTGTACTATATATATTTGGTATTTTTCCTAGGCATTTAGGATGTCGCTCTTGACAAATAGAATTGTATCAAGGAAAAATGAAAGTTGGCATTAAGTTAAAATCCAGGTACATGTAGTATTGCCGAAGATTGAAGACCTATTGCAAGAAAAGTTATATTCTGTATTTGCTAAGGAAATCGGCCGCCATCTTGGATATCGCTAGCTGCTCAATTTTTACTTTTTGGCAACTGGCATTGATTTGTTCTGGAGCCCCGGGATATCTTAATTAAAAAACAAGGAATAATACCCCCTGGTTCGAATACTGGAGGTTTATTTCTCTCGGTTATTGCAGGATATAAAAATAACCTTAGCCATCATCTGTTTCAGTTGAAGATGTTACTCTAATTATTGGTCTCATTAGTTGATATTTGTTTTAAAATTGGCAAAATTTGCCTTGAGTCTATGTTAAACAATAAGCTTGTGTCTCCTTCTCATTATTAGGATAAGAGCGTGTTACCTGTCATATAAATATATTTACAACGCAATATTGACATAATCTATTTTTGCCATTCTGACCACCAACTGGTTATCACAGACTTCAGGGCAATTCATTTTCTTCTCATTAACAGAAAAATGAAGCTTATGAGGGAGCTACTTCTGGGACATGTAACACGTAAGGTACATCTACGGCAACTAACTCATACAATGAGACTTGTGAAATTTGCTATATGATGCCTTGACACTATTATGGAAAAATTCTGTCAGCCACGCACACGGGAAAGAATTAATAAGACGATTCGTGTTGAAGAGCTGTCGCTAACACCAGGAATTCTAAGTAAATGTGAACCAAATTATGTTCTATAACTCATTCGTGCATCTTTATTTCTTAACACAATGCTTCGACTTGAACTGGATCTTTTCCTGTCAAAAGTCAGACATATCACCCTTTAAAATATTGAAAAGTGAATGCATCGCTTGAACAAAAGATACAGACGTAGAAAACAATATGTACAGTAAAAAAAGATGTCTCCTTTGAACATTACACTTTCTTCGAGGAAAAGACAATTAATTTAGACCCTGCGTCCCTGTCATTCTATTCGACATATTTGAGCTATCAGTTGCGTTAAATCAATTATCTGACAATGTGTCGCTACTAACTTTACTGACAACGAGACAACTGACAGTGATTCGTGTAGCAGGACGATTAGCGTCTCCTTTATTTAGGTATTGTTAACAGCAAGTGTTAACGAACTCTCAGTGCCTACACAGTTCCAGTGAGCTACTTTTTCTTAACGGCTCGTTTATTCAAGTCAGGTGGTTTGATCTTTTTCCGAATCCGGCTTGAACCGATTACATGTAAAGCAATTAGTTATAAGTGTTCTCAATTGATTATCCAGCAAGACTTGCCTAATGTGGTCTGCGACTACAAAGGCAATGAAAATTCCTGGCTTGTTTTGATAGATTCTATAGATTTAAATAGGCCAAAGACGTTTTGACCACACACTAACCCCGGCTGTTTAGATGATAGGTTGCACCAAGAGCGCTTCAGGGCACCATCAAATACCACAGAGTGTAAACTGCTAGGGACAGACCCAAAGCTCAGTAAATCCTCAGCGGCTCTTGGCACTACAGAGGCAATACTTATTAAAACCAGATTTCGTCCAGTGTAAATCCGGTTTTCCATCATCTGTCAAGCTTCCTCTCTGAAGCACGTTTGAAGCGCGCCAGGAAAAGGGCCATATTCCGTCCAGTGTAAATCCGGCTTTCCATCATTTGTCAGCCACCGTCAGCTCTAGTGTGTTTCAATTTTTCTACATTTCCTTGTGAGTCGACAGTTTTCTGATAAGAACAGTTAATTAAGGTATATCTTACAACCTTGAGAACACCGTCAATTACAGTATGAGCAGAGAAGCTGCTGCATCTAGAGATCTGAATTCTATTTAAACGACGGTCTCTTGACGATGGAGCGCCACGGAGTGAAATGTAGACTAAATCTGGCAGAAGTCGAATGCACGCGGTGGGGAAAAACGTTATTTTATTTATTTTTTTTTCAAAAATATATAAATTGGAATATGCTCTTGAATCTGGAAATATTACCAGAAATCATGCCGACTAAAAACTGTCTTACAGCTTTGTGAATATTGCCATCGCCCTCATCGAATATCACAATCTGCTAATGAATTTTTCTGCAAGCTTTTCTTAACACTTCTCATTGCCACCGACAAAGTAACCAATGATAAAATGTTTAAGACCACCTTTCTTAAAGATACTCTATACGGGATTTTACCGACAAAATGAATTTTCCTCGGGATAAAAACAATTTACTTCTACCCACGAATCGATGCTCTTCCCTTTCCTTCCTTACACTTGAAGTCCAATGTGTTTATTTTGTTCTTAATTTTATAATTTAGCTCTAAATGACTGGCCAGTCATTTACAACACCATGCCTTCCAGTACGCTTCAGAAGAAAAAAAAATCGAAATAAGGTACCTTTACTTGATGGGTTTTATAGATATCATTCAAGGTCCGAATTGGGAAAGTACCTATGCAACATTGTAGTCATATAAGGCGTGACTAAGGGTATATAGGCTACAATTGCGTACTGTATACTGGTACCTTTAAATTGGCAAAAAATATTATGTTAAAATTAGATTCTGGAAAGGAGCAAGTATGAACAAGGGAATAAGCTTCACCACCCCTGCTAAAATTTGTCTCATTTAACGCTCACTTACGGTTCTCTAGAACATAACGTTTTTCTCTTTTAATGAAAAATATTTTTAATCTGTTCTAGGACAATTTGAAGGACTTCCCAAAAAAGTTCATTCAGGTACATTCATTAAAGAACAACATTAGAACTGTAAAAAAAAAATACACCGAATGTTCTAGAATAGACTGAGAACCGTAAGTGAACGTTAAATGAGACAAATTTTCGCAGGGGCACAGCAGGCCATTAAAGAAGAAAAAGAGCCTCACTTTTGACAGTGAAATGCTTTTGTACGACATAAATCTCGTAATGAACAAGCTTTTGAACGCACCGAGACCGTCCGTCGCTCTGAAAGAAATCGAGAGTTTTATCCTCCAGAGCCACCTGCATCAGTTGATTAATTTGTCCTTTTTGAGGCTTAACCTTAACCTAAACTTGCCTCGGCTTTATTCTGAACTATACATTTCGTAACAATTGTCATTTATTGCTGTTTGTGGCTAGAGCAGCCGGAGATAATACAATCCCCATCCCATAGCTGTCTCCTACGGGTGGGAATGTTCGATGATGCAAAACCAATGCAAAAACCTATAAGCTATGTTTTATTACTAAATGGGTTAATATCCTTTATTCAAGCTGCTTTGTTATTGAAAGCAACGTGTGTGCGGCTGTCTTTCAGGTATTTATGATAGACAGGCTTTTATCTTAACGACGAGCTGATACCTCCGTAATGAGCTAAATGCGTCTTTGTAAGAGGAAAAAAGCTATCGGGTTCACCTTGCACTGAAAAAAATCAATACAATGTCAGTGTAGTTTTCCCTCAGCTTATACAAGCAACGGACATATACAAAAGGCTTGGGGCACACATTATACCGACACCTGAAAGCTAAAAAGATATGATTTTACTGAAGATGAGTTTTATTCGTGTGATGATTGCAAACTCGGATACGTATGTTAGTGTTCACAAGTTAATGTGTAGTTTATGGTCGTGCAGGAATTGCGCGCATGTGTTAACTTATCCTAGCTACTCCAAGGGCCTCTTCCCCTCTCTTCTCCTCCCAGGCGTCAGCACTTGGTCTTTATAGCAAAAGAGAATACCAAAAATTACGATGGCTTTCTCGAAATCTCACTTTAAAGGGATGGATTTCGTGCCAGTTTTGCCGTCTTTACTAAGAAAAGCACCTCCTTCTGTAATTGATGGTCATTTCCTCAGATTCTGATTGTGTTATCTTTGCTCATTTCTTGATGATTCAGCTTCTGTTTACGACTATTCGCTTTTTTCAACGCATTAGAAGGCCCATAGGATATGTACCTGATAGACTAATTAAAATGGTACTTGAGAATGACTTCCTGGGAAATCTTTGAGTTCAGATGAGACACGTTTGTGGAAATGATCAATGCAATGACGTTGCTCTGATATGCAGAATCCTATAATTTTAGTACATGTAGGTAAAAACATAGACGCACTTCACAAACACACAACTCTTTAAAAGGTGCCCAAGGCACATGCTCTTCCTGGAATACCTTAAGTGTATCACCCCAAACACACGCGCGCGCGCACACATACTCACACGCACATGCATATACTGGTACCCTTGACGGTATGCTCGCTAAACTCTTTCACGATCACACATACACCCCCCCCCCCACACACACACACAAACACACACAAACATGAAAACACTGTCCTTATATTGAACAAGGACCCTAACATCTGTCATGTTTTCTTTTCTTCAGATGAAGACGAAGAGAAGTCGGTGTCCGTATTATTGGACGGAGAAGAATCGGAAATGGTGCTAATGGACCCAATGAATGAACAGGTATAAAACTACGCCATTATTATCATGTGTATTTAATTGTTAAAAGTCTTACTACACGCGCTTGCCCGCGTGTCTTTGGATATGTACAAGAGAGTAGGTCCGTACCTAGGTTAGTAGGTGCAAGTGCGTGTGCGTGGAGTTGTGCATGCGTCGGGAGTAGGAAGTGTGTAGCGTTAAGTTGTGCACTTCCAGTCGACCTCTCACAACAGTTCTAAATTTCAGAGATTACTGAAGATTCATCTCTAACATCAGCAAAATAACGCTGGTGATTTCAGTGGCGAGTGTTCAGTAATCTCCGAAGATCGAAGGGCGATCGCCACAGTCATGAGTCCGTGGTTTGAAGAGGTGGGGATCTGGGAACACATCCGGAATCATGTCACGATTTCAATACGCTGGCACGACTTAATGTTCAGGAACAAACTGAAACCCATTACCACCACTCAGGATTTAATTGATTAAGACACGGGATCCTACTCGGGTCATTTCGTTCACTTTCTTAAGACTATTTTCGATCCAGGGGCCTTCATTTTATTTCTCAATCATGGAGAAACGACAGGTGTCTTCTGAATATAAAGTTCACACCAGAATTTAAAAGCGTGCTCTCTGTTTGGCAATAATATGTATCTTTGTAACCGCGGTTGGTTACCAGTGTTGGAGGTGAACGGTGAATTTCAATTCACTTAAAAATGAACACAACAGCCAGCATGGAGTTTTGTAGTAGTCTTTATTTCTCATACATACAGTCTGACACGCAGGCAGGAACAGTCTTGACGATCTCCCGTGGTCTCTGACTCTCTACCTGAGAGGCCCAGTTTTTATAGGGAATCGTACTGGTTCCTGCGTACCCTAAATCTGTTAGTATGCGTATCTTATAGGAAATAAATTTGTCAATTGTCATATGTGAGTTAGGATGTGAGTTAGGATACATGAACCTCATCCCTGTGCTTGAATATATATAGGCCTAACTGTGTCCTACTTGAAATGAAGATCAATAGAACTAAATACTGGAACTACAATATTTGTTATAGTAACCCTCAAGATGGATATATTCTCCGGGTAGGAAGGCTGCATATATAATGCTCGGACCTGGGACTGGCTCTATTAAATTGAACTTACTTAATTATCTCAGGTGGGGTGGAAGAGATCGAGAACTAAACGACAATAATTAGGCCAAAGTATTTCTACAGTTTGAGAATCGTCACTTGTTCTCCCTTTTCTGTCTGTTCAAAAGGGGGGGGGGCATTCATTATTTAAATTTATTACTTTGAAGGGACATTTGTTTTTAACAATAGCTTCTCTCCCAAGATTAAGATTTGAATTTAAAGACAAGGCTGAATTGTATAACACTTCCGTATGATATCTTTCTTTCCTGAGAGTAGGCGGGTTTGTATAACCACAGTTTCCCCAGAGAACAACTGAATAGATGGAGCCACATGTCGTTTCTTTTGTAATAGATGTTGTGACATTTGTTGATCAGCTACCTTCTGGAAAGTGTGTGTTTAGTGTCAATGTCCGTTCACAAACACCTTCACATCTCTTTCTCAATAATTGCGTTTCTCTTTCTTCAAGCTGGTTGATAAGAAAGATTCCCCGTGATACCCTAGATAACAGTTTGATGTAAAAACAAACGTGCATTCAAAGATTCCAAATTGCATTTAAAACCAGCTCTCCTTTTTCAAAGTAGTCACATAACTGGTTTCAATCAACTTTTAATTTAATTTTCCCCTGATTTCTGTGACCTGTCCTCTAATGACTGGTGATACATATTAATAAACCAGCACGACAGTCACAGCTCTTTTTAATATCTGTGCAAGATGTTTTATACATAATTCATTTAAGCAATTCCATCTTGACAACCCGTATGCGCATTTTAAGTCTATTCTCTCTTTAGTGCAAATCGATGACATGGATTATTTATTTGTTCGTGTGAGTGAGTAAATTGACTAAAACGATTGCAATTTTATTGATTAAAAGTTTGTATTTGTACCTTGCAAGGATTCTAACTGAAGAAGTTATACATATACATGGACAAGTTACATTGTTCGTATGTTTGGGGTCATCCTGTGGTGAAATACCAAAAAAAAAGTGGGTTGATTTCTTAATGCGCTGAGCAACGTATTCTGCTGTACTCAATAGCCTTTTTCGGATGTACTTAACCCGATACTTTCTGTTAGCCCTAACTTCTGCATGAATTTATCATATGGGACGCCACGAGTCCACTTCTAGGACGACCATTGTCACACTCAGGCCTCACAAACGGTAAAGTTGCCGTTTTCTAACAAGAGCCTTAGATTTGTGGGGAGAACAAGTGCACAAATTATATAATTAATGACTCCAGTCACGAAGTAACTACGCCAACGTAGAATAACTTGCCACGAGTTTAGCGTTTCATTACACAAATACCAGCTTCCATCCGGGTCTCTGGCTGTTTGTACAGGCCTCCTACGGGTTCTTTTAATACGGCAGCAATGCGTTCTCTACAATCTCAGGCTCATACGGAACGTACCAAACGGGTAAATAAGCGGTTTGTGTCATGAAACGCTGTGCTTGTGGCAATTTTACGATAGAGTAGTTCATTCGTGGTTGCAGTCGTTAAATTGGGCATTTGTGCCTACAAATCTGAGGCTTGAGTTAGAAAACGCCTAATCCGTTTATAAGGCCTGACACCGGCCTCGCTAGTAAGTCGCCCAAGAACGTGACCAAAAATAAATAAATAAATAAAATAAAATAATGAAGAAATGAAAATCATAGTAATTTGTATCTTAACGCACATTCTAAACAGACGGCATCTCTCTTTCTCTCCTGCACAAGCATTCAAACAATTACCATCAAAGTGATGGCTGGGATCCGCAGGACTTTAATAAGAGGAACATGACGCCAGTGTGATTGTTAAAATGACCTTTTATAAATCTACCAGTTGACATTTTCTCTAGGCAGCGATGTAACAATGAAGCTGTAGATGACAATAAAACAGTCTCTGGTTACCGATAATGAAAGCTTCAAAATAACGACAGAGTGTTAGAACTATCGAATGGCGTTTTATAGCAGCTAACAAATGGCTGTATGAACTGTATAAAAAGTTCATTTCCCACATAGTTAAGATACTGTTCTTTAGTCCCGCAGATGTCTTTTTAAACGTGCCTGTATTTCCAACTTGATTTTTTACTTATATTTTGTGTCTGTTCAATTCTTTTTTTCTCTTTCATTTTATTGAAAAGGTTTTATTTAAACCGGTTTAATTTTTTTTACTACAAAGATGATTTTCGTCGTTTTAGCCAAGCTAATCAATGATAAGCTTTGATTTGAATTGCTGTCACTTCTAGTGGTTCGTGTATTTCTTGCTAATCTTATATTCCCGTCATATTTTGTTTTCCGTTGTCGTCGTTTCAGAATTTACATCAGTATGAAGACGCGGACGCCATCGTAATAGTCTACTCTATGGCGGATAGGGCAAGTTTTGAGTACGCCACGGACGTCTTGTTTCGTCTCCGCAAGGAAGATAATTACACCAAAGCCATAATTCTAGTCGGGAATAAAAGCGATATCGTTCGTGGGAGAGAAGTTTCTTTGGATGGTAAGTCAGCCTGATTGCCTTTCTCGAGTTTATTAACCCATTAACCCTCTCCAAACCACCAAACCAAGCGATTTGTTGAAATATGTTTGAGCATCTTCTAAGGATACATCTGACCATACTACCTTACAAGTGACACACGAAGCAAGAGCAAAACGGATCATAATGATAATAATTCAATTCAGTTCTAGTTCAATTTAAGCAGGGTCAAATCGACAGCTTTAGCCAAGCAGACTTGTCACTTGGAGCATGTCGAGCTAACATTTACCAATGCCTTTATCATCATTACCATAAAAGAGCAGAGTACAAAGACAATACAGTAGATTATAATGATCTCTCTGCATTAGCAATGTTACGCCTACCTGAATGCAACTTGAATGATATTGAAACTGGTGCTCAGAAGAGACAAAAAAGAGCAAATAGAAGAAGCAAATTGTATTAGCAACGGTGTACTGAAGACGAAACGCTTTTTGTTGTACTGTCACTCCTAGCTACAAGCTATAGAGAGATATTTTTGAATCTAAATTGAAAACGAAAAATGTTGATTTTCAACACAAGCTAGAAAGATGACAAATGACGTGATAATAATGAAACCTACAACCAAAAGTGATACCTTAAAACGTGTTGCATGCATCTAAATTATTTAAGCTGAATGAAGAAAAATTGCCACTTGATTGCTCATGCATGTACGATCTTATTAAGACTTTATTTATTATTTATTCATTTAGAATATTTCTTCCTCTCTTTTTATAGTGTCAAATCTATATATATTCTGTTTTAATTACAGTTTTTTGGCCATTGGCTTGTGTACATACTTATGTATTGGTACGTGAATGAATGGAAATGAAAACTGAAAAGTTTAATTATGACAGTGGCATGGATTATGAAGGATGTATAACATAATGCAGTAAACTGTCTCGTTGTTAACATGAAATCTCACAGTACCTCCCAGCGTCTTCGATTCATGACACCTACTCTTAAAAAAGTAATAAAAAGAGAAAATGACTTATCACTTTTGAATGTGGAAACCTTGATAAAACTATAAAATCGTCTGGAAACAGCGGTATACCTATCCGTGTGAAAGCAGCTGTGAAGCTGTCTGGTTCATACGTACCCCCAGCTCTTCCCCATGAGAATACGGGATTGCTGGGAATTTATCTATACTGCCACCATGTCGTCCGCCGTTCAAGAAACGACAGAGGCTTGCCAAAAATGTTGGCAAGTTTCCTAAAAAGCTCTTAGTCTGGAGGGAGTAGGGGGTACTATATGTCTTTTTGAGCACTTGATATGCAGTCTTTTAGTGCGATATATTGTTTTTTATCCCAACGAGTCCTGAGGATGCGTTATGGAAATAGAAATGTGCCGTGGCAATTTGTTTGTACGGTAAGCGGTAGGTGCTGGCACATGTCAAGAAAATGTACGTTTTTTGCTTGTGTGTTGACTGTGTTCAACGTGCGCGTACATTTACATTATGTACACACCCACGTGTACAGGTAGAGCTATATATGATGTTGGAGAGAGAGAGTGAGAGAGTGAGAGAGAGTGAGAGTGAGAAGCGCTGAAGTCTTAAATCTGGTGACCTCAAACTACGGACTCGCAGAACGTGCAGTACGGCTTCGTCTAATATGTTCATTCACTTCACAATAATTTTTTCGGACGTTTTAATTCGTTTGGCCTCACTGGGACTTACTTCAATATTCTTAACAATCTGCAATTTTTTTTCTCGTACGTGTTCCGCTCGCCTCTACTCGGTATGGATTCGTGTTTTCAGCCAATTTCTGTTAGACTTTCCTAGTGGCACATGGTCTCAATAAATGTATCCCGCCATTCATATGTCACTTCTCTTTGAAAAAAAAAACTTTTATCATTTGTTTTATTGGAAAACACTGCTGAATATTTCAGTTTAGACTGAGGTTTTATTCAATCAGTTCTGCTTTTTGTTTCTGCCTACAATGGAACTGCCTCAAGAGGGTTTCTTTATTCCCCAGGGAAAAGCCATGGGCTTTCTCTCTCCTATTAGCCTGATGTGAATTGTACAAAAGCTAGCCCAATTCTATTATGCTATTTTACCAGTTTTTCAGATTTTGATGTTTCCCATCACGAAAATAGGCCATTTTGTCCCGACGAATCGATGATGTGATAAAACAGTCATATTGTGTGTTATTTATTCTAATGGCACTTCCGTGTGTCCCTTGGGCTGATGGATTGGAAGGACTGTCTGTGTCCCCATTAATGCGAGATACCGGTAAAGTGTGCATATACTTTTATGCCACTCAAAGGCCACGTTCATGCTAAGCTCGGATGGACCGCATCTTATCCAATCCACATGACGTCACTATTTTTCCAATGTAAAGAATAAGATGTATGCAATGCATGACATCATACTTTCTTTTTGAAACATAGTAGGGCTGGCCACGTTCAAGCTAGGCGCAGATAGACCGATTCTGATTCGATCCAAATAGCATCAACATTTTCAGCTGTAATCATTATTGAATACGCCTTGCACGTTCTGTCCGAAAATTAATTGTTTTGCTGTTATGCTTGGCTACAGTAAAATCAGTTAGTGCCTCCCATACTAAAAATTGATGATATTTACGCCCTTATTCCTGACTGAATCATTGTGCAATATGTTTTTTTACTGTTGTTTTGGTTTTCTGTATATACATATAATTGAAGTCAGGTGTATTATTTTGTAGATATTTTTTCTCACTAATTCATTCGTTAAACTTTTTATTTGTTTGCATATTTATTTGTTTATGTGTACGTTTGTTTCATCCATCGTCAGATTTTTTGTTTCCATGACACCATCCGTGCATTCAAAGCTAATTCATCATCATACTCTTTTTTTTTCATTCATTATAGAGGGAAGATCCATCGCCATGACCTACGACTGTAAATATACAGAAACCTCGGCCGTGTTAAACCACAACGTGGACGAACTGCTTGTTGGCACCTTGACCCAAATACGGCTCAAAGAGCAAGAGCACGGCCAGAAACCGAGCAAGACTCGTTGTGTCCCGAAATCGGCAAAACAGATTATAACCCGATTTTGGAAAAAGAATGGCCGAAGGGTTTCTAAATCCTGTGACAACCTGTACGTGCTGTGAACTGATATTGAAAGGGAATAGGATTTGGGCAGGAAGTAACTTTGCCCTCTCAGACACAAGAACCGTTTTTGACACACAGGCAATTCTGAGGAAAACCCTTTCGTTGGGCATATGGGAACAAATAGGGAGGTCGTTTTCAAACTACCTAGAGAGGTGATATTGTAAGAAGGTGCCTGGGAAAGAGGGGAAACATTTTTGATGGTTCCTGGGTGTAGCATAAACTTCTCCATCTGGGCAGCTTTATTATTTTCGGCGAAGGAATGCAGTTTCATGTGAGAGTATAAAACGAAAAATGTGACATACATTCTGAAGTGGAATGAGCGAGGAAACGACAAATAGGATTTATTATTGTCATTTCTTTTTAATATTTCAGTAGGAGGTAGTTGATAACTGAACGATTAACTATGAACTTGATTTCAAAACTGCTCCAAGGGATGCTGCAAAAAGAAAAAAAAGGCGCAGTTCACAAATGGGAGCACACTAGCATGTAAGCTTGCTAGCGTTACCGGCTTTCATGCTTATTAAATTTAAACTAGGAAGTAAATTCAAAATATTCCACTCAACACGTTAAATAATATATCCTGCTCAAGGAGTTTTTTCACGCATTACGTTCCGCGTGATGTTCCACTTAAAGGGGGATCGATACATTTGGTTTTTCCCTTTATTTGTATAGATAATACGGAAATTAACTTTGTCATGTAATGAGATAATACTGTCGCATCAAAAATTCATTAGGATGAATTTGCTAACTCGTGCCTGTCACGTAACTGCAGCTTTTTGGGATGCAAACTATAATATTGATTCCAAACTCGTCTCCTGTACCAGAACAGCTTTTAACACCAGTTTAGCGCCTAACATCAACATGTACCGTCTTACAATCTGGTCAGGAAATTCCCCTGAAAGGTTTACTTCTGATTTTAATAGTGAAGTAGCTAAGTAATGTCTTTGTTCAATGGAACATCGTAATTAGGGGATCAAAATTAGGGGCTCTACTAAATAAAAAGTGAAACCAAACACTGGCAATGGATTGAAGTTTGAATCCTAGTCGTCAACCGTGCCCACTTTCGTGATAGCATCTTACTTAAAGAGCTACGTTAAAAACCAATCAAAACAGGGAAGTTGGCAATTAACTCTTGGTCACCCTATGTGCAGTAGTGGGTTGGTGAAAAAAGCAACAACAAATGGAGTTTGGGCTCTGAAAGTGTTCGTTTTATTGCAATAATATTAAGATATGTGTTTTTCAAAAAAAAAAAAAAAAATGAAAAAGAAAAAGATGTTTGCCAAATGTCGGCATATCGATCCCTCTTAAGTGCAAAGCAATTGCTTTAAATTTTTTAAAAGCTGTTTTACCGTTTCCAATATGGCAAGTAACATGGTATGATTTAGATAATATAGATGCCGCCTTTATGGGGTATGGGGGTTTCTTTGTAATTACCTGAAGGCAGTTGTTTAGGGTTTTCTTTTCAACTGTAAGTGAATATATTTCAGTTAGATTTACACTTTCATCTCAAATTCTTTACACGCCTATGTGTCAAATCTATATATTGCAGTTGGCGAGGCATGTCTTGCCAACGCATGCAACTATCTCCTTTTCTCAACTAACACATGCACCACATATTCAGTAACTTGTAACCAAAATGGTTCAGCGCATTGGACAATGTTTTCGACCGGTGTAACTTAATATGATATCTTGTAACAATTTTTTGTACGTGGGATATATTTCAGCGTTAACATACATTACAGCTAACAAGGCTATGCTATTTTTGAAATTTCACTATTTTGCAGTAAATTGCTTAGGCTCTAATATGACCTAGCGGAATGGTGAATTAATAAAGATGTGCAACGACACAAAACTTCAAAAGAAGTTGTTAGAATTAGGGTGTGGGTCGAGACAGAACTCGTAGCAGAGTCTTAAACTCTCATTTATATATATTTGCACATTTTCAAGCCATTGGCTTATTACTACTTAATTCCGAAAGAGAGTGGTGGTTTTATTGTATTTATTTATTATTTATTTATTTGTTTTGGTTTTTTTATTTTTCATTGAGGTGTGTATTGAGCATATTTTGCAAGTGCCTTGATTAGATTGACCTGTAATATAGCAAATGCGTAATTATTTAATTTTGCACAATTGGCTATATAATATATAGATTAACATATCGTTCAAGTCGTTTTCATTTTTTGTCATGTAAACTATCTATCTAAAGTGTTTTAAATGAACAATATGTTTTACTTATCTTGAAAAATTCTAATTTTCATTTGTTAATTGGTTATTTACATGTTGTTCTCAACTACAATATGTCATTCCTACTATTTGTTTATGTACCTTTTGGTGAATTAAATGCATTTGGCTGTTGATAAGTTTTTGTGTGTTTTTATTTTCATAATTTGTTTCTTTATTTTCTATTTCTATTTTCTTTCTTCTAGTTCTTAATACTTTACTTTGCAAACGTATCTCTAAAAACATGTCCCATAAAAACGGCCCCTATACAATACAGATATATACCAGTCAATTTATTTTTACCATTCGTGAAGCAAAACAAGTCCATGCCACATATTTATCAGTTTCGATTCCAAACAGAATTCAAGTATCAGTGATCCACCTGGTCCCGGAGCCAGGTCAATAATTAAAAATGCATATATTCAAATTGACAGATAAGAAGTAAAGGGTTTGCTTTACACAGAGTTGACATGTGATATGAATTTTTTCCAAATGATTTCTTCGCTTTTTTCTATTTTTCTGAGTAATAAATGAAAACAAAGATATTTTATTAGGTTCTAAATAACTTTTTATAACCTCGCCTGTGAAAAGATCAGTATGTGATCAGAAAACTTTGAAAATTTAGGAACGCAAGTTAAATATACATAGGACCTTTTTTATACTCTATCTAAAAAACAATAACTTAATTGTCTTGTGAAAATGGCCATTTCGCATTTAGTTAGTTTCTGCTGATCATATGTCGCCCGGAGCGACTCCATACTCGACATTTGAAATGGCAATCAAAACTAAATCCATCTGAACTGCCTCTCCATGCTGTTTACATCACGGGTAAAGTTTAACTATAATCAGTGCAAAAATAAAATGTCGAAAAGCACCAAAGTCATCTTTCTAGGAACGTTTCCTGAAGGCTTATCAAATAAAACCTCGTGTGCATCATGAACTTCAGCGTTGATGTTTTTGGGGCTGGCGTTGCGTCAGATAAAATACGGCACCTNTTTTTTTTTGCCCCCCAATTTCCAGGGGGGGGGGCAGCTGCCCCCCCCCTGCCCCCCGGAGGCTACGGCCCTGGAGTTGACATGTGATATGAAAGTTTTTTTCCCAAATGATTTTCTTCGCTTTTTTCTATTTTTCTGAGTAATAAATGAAAACAAAGATATTTTCTCAGGTTCTAAATAACTTTTAATGATCTCATCTATGAAACGGTCAGTATGTGATCAGAAAACTTTGAAAATTTAGGCCTTTTTATATTCTATCTAAAAAAAACAATAAGACAATTGTCTTGTGAAAAATACCCTTTTCGCATTTTTTTTTATTTTCTGCTAGTCATATTTCGCCCGGAGTGACTCTATACTGGATATTTGAAATGGCAATTGATAACTTAATCCGTCATCAAAACTAAATCCATCTGAACCGCCTCTCAAATCCATGCATGCTGTTTACATCATGGGTAAAGTTAAACTATATGTCAATACAATAATAATAATAATAATAATAATAATAATTTCGAAAAGCACCAAAGTCATCTTTCTAGGAACGTTTCCTGAAGGTTTATCAAATAAAACCTCGTGTACATCATGAACTTCAGCGTTGATGTTTTGGGGCTGGCGTTGCGTCAGATAAAATACGGCATCTGGGCAGTCGATATAAGAGATAAATATTCAGGGCGTTTTTTTCTCAGTGAGAAGGAAAAAAGTTTTCATTCGAACCCTTCAAATTGTAGTTAATTGTTCCACTAAATCTATTAATTTTGTTTGATAACTATGTGAGGAAAGTTGTGATGTTCGTAGGGTCGGTGGCTCTCACAGTTAAGTCAAAAACATATCAGCCTCGTCGTGAACAGTGAAGCGAAACGTCGCGGAACCGTTGCGTCTTCTGAAAAGCATTGTGACGTCATAAGTGCTATGACGTCGACACTTCCGTAGTTACAAAGTCAACATGGAAATGCGCGGATATATATTTCCACTATGTCGATATTACGGTTAATAACTTTATTAATTTTTTGTTTTGCTTGTGTTTCAATAGTATATTTTCTCCAGGATAATTACAGGTACGTACATATTATATTTAGATTGTCTTCATCACCTAAACAAATGAAAACTAACAGTGCAATCTTTCGCTCTTTTCGACTACCTAAATCTCTGCATCACAATCTGCAGGAATACTTCCCGTAGAGAGTTTTTGTAAAATTTGTTGTTCTGAATTCTTGTGAACGATTAGACACCTAGTTGTTCGTAATTCATACATGTCTTTGCATCATTATATATAAGGAACACCGAACATCGAGACCTGGAGATCAACATTAACATCTCTTTTGGAGCTAGCGGGGATAGCGGTCAAAAAGAGTACCTGAATCATAAAGTACATCTAACAGAACCAAGAAATGACCGCCCAAGGTTTACAAGAACAACAACGAGAAGGAGGACCGGTGTTGGTAAACCACAATTTAGCACAGACTTCGATAGAGAAATAAACGGAATTGCACCACCTCCACTGGAGGAAACTGCCAAAACTGGAAACACGTCTAGCAGTGGTGAGACTTCTTTTTATTGAAATCATTCATTTTGAACGTGCTTTAATTTGATTTTAGATTTGAGCTGTATTAACATGGTATATTTTATTTAAACCCCCTAAAATTGCTTTAAAAATGTAAAACGTCATATGATATCACACAGTATGCCCAAAAAAATCAGATCCGAAATTTAACACTTTTGGATACATATTTTAAACAATTATAATGATTTACTTCAAATGCGTGATCAAAATGCGTTTTTAAAATTGTATACATTAGCGACAATTAAACGCAGATTTTATTTACAAGTTGACAATCACCTTATAAATAAAGTACGTCATATGTTCGTTTTCAGACCGAGTGTGGAACGCCTCATACTTGAAGGCTGTAGCTTTCTCGGTCTATGGCCGTTCCCTTCAAATCGTCAACGACGTTAAAGACAAGAGCCAAAATCACTTTGGTATTTGGACACACAACTTTTATGGACTGCTCATGGACTGCTGTGACAAAGTTCAGGCGACATCAGCAGGAATAGGTAAGATCCGGTTGTGACACTAATACGATCGTAACTCTACTCCGTCGTGTTTCAGAGTGGATGATTATGTTTTTTCTTTAAATTTTGGAAAAAATATGTGTGTTATAAGATTTTCAGACATTGTCTATTTGAATTAGCAAATTACAGCATGTCAGTGTCGATCTAAGGCTTATTCAGTTTAATTCGGAAAATGTCATGGAATATATACTTTCTTGTTTTAGTAAATGCCCTTGCAGATGCTGTTGAAGACAGCAAGAACTCTGCAGAAGAAGTCTTCGGGTTATTCAATGACAGGGTTGTAGAACACATTGATAATGGCATCGATCGAGTGCGCCTCTACTTCGTTCCTGAGTCTCCCGTAGAACGAAAGTGTAAGGGACATTCCAACTGGTACGCAAAGAGCGCGTGCACACTTTTGTTCCAAGCTGCTGAATACCCTCCACAGCTTGTCTCCACTCTGGCGGAAGGATACGACAGATTTTTCGAAGTGGCCGCAAGGTTCTTCGTACGTGAGACGTACAAAGATAAGGTCTGCAAAGGCTACGACACCGTGCCATTCCTTCGGAAAGTCTGCGAGACAGGATTTGATGTGGCGTCAATGGCGAATGATATCCTAGAAAATGTCCAAGAGTTCCTCGGCAAATGTATTGCACAACCAACTTTAGACTTTGCCCAGAAAGTAATCACATCTATAACAGACGGTGCATGGAAAGCTGCCGAGG